GTTAGGTCCCTTATTTCTCTGTTAAGTTTTGATGTGGCAGATCTGTCCAGTGGTGAGAGTGGGATGTTGAAGTCTTCCACTATTAATGTGTGGGGTTTGATGTGTGATTTAAGCTTTAGTAATGTTTCTTTTACATAATGTGGGTACCCTTGTATTTGAGGCATAAATGTTCAGAATTGAAACTTCATCTTGGTGGATCTTTCCTGTGATGAGTATGTAATGTCCTTCTCGATCTCTTTTGATTGATTTTAGTTTGAAGTCCATTTTGTTAGATATTAAGATAGCTACGCCAGCTTGTTTCTTAAGTCCATTTGATTGGAAAGTCTTTTCCCAGCCTTTTATTCTTGAGTTAGTGTCTGTCTTTGAAGTTGAGGTGTGTTTCTTTTTTTTTTTTTTTTTTTTTTTAAAGTTTATTTTTAACGTATATGAGTGACCTGTCTTCAGGGACACCAGAAGAGGGAATCAGATCCCATTATAGATGGTTGTGAGCATGTGGTTGCTGGGAATTGAACTCAGGACCTCTGGAAGAGCAGCCAGTGCTCTTAACCACTGAGCCATCTCTCCAGCCCGAGGTGTGTTTCTTATATACAGAAGGATGGGTCCTGATTTTGTATACGATCTGTTAGCCTGTGTCTTTTTATAGATGAATTAAATCCATTGATATTAAGGGATATTAATGATCAGTGATTGTTAATTCCTGTTATCTTTTGGTGGTAGTGTGTGTGTATTTCTCTTCTTTGGGATTTACTGCTGTGTTTTTGTGGGTGTATCTGACTTCCTTAGTTTGGAATTTTCCTTCTAATTTCTGTAGGGCTGGATTTGTGGATAGGTTTTGTTTAAATCTGGTTTTGTCTGGAATGTCTTGTTCACGGCATCTACGGTGATTGAAAGTTTTGCTGGATATATTAATGTAAGCCGGCATCCATGGTCTCTTAGTGTTTGCATTATATCTGTCCAGGATTTCTGGCTTTCAAAGTCTCCATTGAGAAGTCGGGTGTTATTCTGATGCGTATGCCTTTATAAATCACTTGGCCTTTTTCCTTTGCTGCTCTTAAATATTCTTTATTCTGTATGTTTAGTGGCAAGGGGACTTTGGGGAGGGGGGGGTCTAGTCTATTTGGTGTTCTATAAGCTTCTTGTATCTTCATAGGTATTTCCTTCTTTAAGTTGAGAAAGTTTTCTTCCATGATTTTGTTGAATATATTTTCTGTGCCTTTGAATTGGTATTCTTTTCCTTCTATCCCTATTATTCTTAGGTTTGGCCTTTTCATGGTGTACCAGATTTCTTGGAAATTTTGTATTATGACTTTTTTGGCTTTGGTATTTTCTTTGACTGATGAATGTTTTTCCTCTATTGTATCCTCTACACCAGAGATTCTCTCTTCCATCTCTTACATTCTGTTGGTTATGCTTGCATCTGTGTTTACTGTTCATTTACTCAAATTTTCTATTTCCAGCATTCCCTCTGTTTGTGTCTTCTTCATTGTTTCTATTTCACTTTTCAGGTCTTGAACTGTTTCCTTCATATGTTTGATTGCTTTTTCATGGTTTTCTTGGCATTTTTAAGAAATTTATTGATTTCTTCCAATTTTTTGTTTGTCTTTAAGGGAATTTTTTATTTCCTCCTTAAAGGCCTCTAAGCATCTTCATGCAGTTACTTTTAAGGTCACTTTCTGCTTCTTCTACATTGTGATGTTCAGGTCTTGCTGTTGTTGGAGGGCTAGGTTCTGTGGTGCCATATTGCTTTTTATGTTGTTGTATGTATTTTTGCACTGATGTCTACCCATCTCTTCCTCCAATACGTGCAAGAGGTGCCTGTGTCTGAGTGAGCTACTATTAGTCCACTCTGTGCTTGCTGTGTCTGTGTCTCAGGAGGCCCCTCTGGGTCCAGTCTTAGATCTTGGTCTAATTGGAGCTAGTAGATTCTGTATCTCAGGGAGCTGCTCTTGGTCCAATCCAAGCTAGCTGACTCTGTGACTCAGGGAGCCTCTCTTGGTCTTATCAGGGCTCTTGGTCTAGTCAGAGCTGGCAGATTCTGTGTCTCAGGAAGTCACTGGTGTTGCAGGGCAATGGGTATTGGGGTAGGGTGTGAGTCTTGTAGATTGCTGGGTCCAATGGGGGATTTGGTGGGGGAGCCTGCCCACAGGAATCTTCCCTGCTGGCCAGCAACTGGGGCAGAGATGGGTGGGGGTTCCTGGGGACTGGCTGTGTCCCAGGGCCTGGGTCCTAGAGGCAGGACTCTGGGTAGGAGAAGAGTCACTCACCTCTTGGTCCAATGAGAACTGGCAGATTCCGTGTCTCAGGAAGTTACTGGGGTCACAGGTGGATGGGTATTGGGGTAGGGCTTGGGTCTTGTAGATTGCAGGGGGTTTTGGTGGGAGAGCCTGCCTGCAGTTTTCCCTGCTGGCCTGCAACTGGGACAGAGTTGGTTGGGGGTTCCCGGGAACTGGCTGTGTTGCAGGGTCTAGGTCCTAGAGATAGGACTCTGGGTCAGAGACCAAAATTGATGTTTATTAGACTTTTTTTAAATGTAAGAACCCTTCAAATTATTTTCTAACATGACGATACTAATTTAATGTATTGTTCATAAAGTAAGGGTCATGAGTTTTGGGGGGATTTTTTTTGTTGTGGTGGTTTTGTTTTTCATCTTTCTCTGTTACTTTTAAACTGGGTAGTGGTTGTGCTATCTCTTTGTGGTTTTAATCTGCATTTCCACAGTAAATAATACGCTTATTAGACATGTGTCGCTTCTTTGCTGAAGCCTTTTACAAAGTTTGTCCACTCTTTTTCATTTGGACTGTGTTGTTATTTTAGTTCTTTATGTATTTTTATACTAGCCCTGTATTATGTTGGTGTAAATTTTGTAAATTTTCTGCTAGTAAATTTTAAAAAGCAAAGGTTTTTGTGGTTGGTATGATCCAGTTGCACAATTTTTATTTAATTTTTTTAGGCAGGGTCTCACTATGTAATCCTGACTGGCCTGGAACTCATTATGTAGACCAGGCTAGCTAGAGATTCCCCCTACCTCTGCCTGCTAAGTGCTAATATTAAAGGTGTGAGTTGCCACACCTGCCACAGAGTAGTTTTAAATTGATAAGTTGTATTTTAGATATGATTTCTGAGACATCTTTCTTTGATCCAAGGTTACAAAGATTTTGCCCTGTTGTGTTTTATAATTTTTTATTATGAAATTAGATAAGAGTCAAGGGTGTGTTATATGGCTGTGTACAGGTTTTTTATTCTTGAATCTATGACTTAAAAGACTACTTTTGCCAGGCGGTGGTGGCGCACGCCTTTAATCCCAGCACTTGGGAGGCAGAGGCAGGCGTGAGTTCGAGGCCAGCCTGGTCTCCAAAGCGAGTTCCAGGAAAGACGCAAAGCTACACAGAGAAACCCTGTCTTGAAAAAAACAAACAACAACAACCACAAAAAAGACTACTTTCCCATTGAATGACCATGGCACCTTTGTCGGAATTGGTTGACAGTGTGTGGGAGTGTCTTTCTGAACTGTATTTTGTTCCATTGATCCCCACCACCATCATGGCCATCATGTCTTTGTCATACTCAGTTACTGAAATTAACACTGAGAACAAATGATTTCCAGATTGAGTTCTCCCACCCATACTCAACAGGGAATAACAGCAAATAAAATAATACTGTAGAGTTCCCAGACAAATACCCTGTTTTTGACATACATTGTACAGTTACCAAAAACACTCTGTCCTTTCCTACACTGTTTCTCCTGTGAGACTTGATCCTGTAATTTCTGTATCCTAAAGCAGAGTATTGCAGAAAAGTTCTTTTTTTAGGAAAGTATAGCTAATGTGTTTGTCAAAATTAGTTGTTTTTATTTATTTAGTGAAAGGATACATAATTTCATATGTGTGTGTAACAATGGTTGTCAGAATTTTGTTTTTCCTTTCTTATAAGAAAAACTTGACTCTAGTGTATGGGGGGAGTATGCATGTATTTATGTTCACATTTGTGTGGAAGCCGGAGGTGAATACTGGGTATCTTCTTCAATCACTGTCTACCTTACTCTTGAGATGAGGTCTCTGAACTTGAAGCGCACCAATTCGGATAAGACTGGCTATCCAGCAAGACTAGGGATCCTCCTGTCTCTACCTTCCCAGCACCAGGATTGCAGGAGTATACTGCTGTGCCCAATTTTTTATATGGTTCTGAAGGATTGAATCCAGGCCTTCACACTTATATGGCAAGCACATTATTGACTGATCCCCCGCCCAGTCCTGTGATACTTATTTTTTATTTTTATGATGTTTTATGAGAACAAGTAATTCCATTCTTTTCTAATGTTGCAAGAACTTTAATCAGAAATTTGTGGAGAGAAAAAAAAAACAGGCAATGTAGAAGTCTAATGGGAAATTGTCACATGTAATTGAGATAAAGTACTTGTAAATTCTCTAGAGAAGTTTTTGTTAAGATACATATGTGTCTGAGTGTGTTAGTAACATGGATGTGTTAGTGTGTCCAGAAGAGGGCATCAGATCCCTGAGAGCTGTAAAGAGTTGTTTGCTGAACACTAACTTGTTATATGGGTGCTGAGATCTGCAGTCCAGTCCCCATGGTTGCATAGCAAGTACTCTTAACTGCCAAGCCATATCTCTAACACCTCGAAAGAGGTTCTTAAGACATCTATTTCCTCATTCTAGCAGTTTCCATGTTTTGCACCCTTAGTCATTGTTACCCTCCCCCTGCCACAGTCCATATTAATGTCCTAATCACAGTATGCCAATCACCGTGGCACACACCTGTAATCTGGAGGTTGAGGCAGGTGCATATCTATTTCAAAGCTGCCCTGGGCTACAAAGACCTTGTCAAGTTCTATGTCAATAATTATGGCAAAAGCATATTGGCACATGTAAAATTCAGGCAGTTACAGCAGAAACAAGGAGGAACCCACTTGTTCATTACATTCTTTATGTAAAATGTGTTAAGCACTTAACTAAGTGAAATTCTTGGGAAGTTTGCAAGTCAGCTTTCATATTTCTGTGTTCTCTGTAGATACTTAGACTGACTATGTAATCTTATCATCCTGGAAAGTTGTGGTGTTGAGTTACACTTGAATTCTAGCTATACCAGTATGGAACAGTGTACCTTCTAATAGCTCACAAGACACCAATACTTTGAAAGGCTCTTTACATATCAGTCCCATTTTAGTATACCTTTAAAAAGTTTGACTGATGACTCTGAATGTTCAGCCACGAGAGTGGTATCAAAAACTTGCGTGAACTTATCTAAAAAGTCATAATCAGTGCTGAATCTGAATTTGTTTGCCCAAAGCACCACAGTGCCTGGCTGGGAAAGGTACACCATGGTAGCGAGTAGCTTATCCAGAAAGTAGTGGTGGTAGACCACATCAGAGGCCAGGACATAATCGTAATAAAAGTTTGACTTAGGGAATTTCTGGTCCAAGTCTTCCCCCCATATCAGTTCTTTCACTTCAGGTAGATGAGCTGTGCATTCCAGTGTGTTTTTTAAAAGATTGTATTGAAGATTTCCTAGAACATCAGGCAGATCTGTTGCCGTGACTTGAGCTCCTAAAAGAAAGAGAAATGGTAATGCTTCATGGAGACATGTAAGTAGCCACAATTTCCTTTATTAGAAGACAGTTAACATCTGCATCTCTAAACCCTGCCTTTGTTGGTATAGGCTGAGCAAACTGATGTTATTTAAACTGTACAGTTTCCTCTTTGTGTACCACATTAGATGTCACCAGCATCCCAACTTGAACCTCCATCCCCATTCATGAATGTCAAAGGGATTCAGTTTCATACCTTTGGACTTTCAACTTCCTTGCATAAAAATTAAATGAATTGAAGTAGTTGACTAGCTCCTCCAAGACTGTTATCTCTGAATAACTAATGATTCCTGCCATGTGACATTTGGGAGTGATTCAATGAAATTGTGGCCAAGCTATGCATACCCTGTCAGTAGTAAGAAATCAGTATTGTCACAGGAGATCTTTTTGAAATGAGAACAAGAAGAAACAAACCTAAAAGACTGGACACAATGGAAACAAGGCCTGGTCCAGCACCAATTTCAAGTATTTTAGCATCTTGGAGATTTAATTCCTCTGTATGCTCTTCCAAATATTGGCACAAAGCTGTAGCCTAAAAAACATTAACAACAATTTCCATTTTGGAATTGGATCATTAGACGCCAGGAGCAGACCACTGTAAGCTTGTAGTTGAACATTAAGGTGTAACCCTAAATATTTTCAGCTTGTAAGTGTTTTATAAGAACCAAAATAGCCAGATACTGAGGCTCAGACCTGTAAGCACAGCACTGAGGAACTTGAGCCAACCTAAGCTACCCTATGATTCTGTCTCTTTCCCCCATCCAAAAAAAAAAAAAAAAAAGAAAAAGAAAAAGAAAAATTAAATGTCATACCCATCTCTGCTATGAATGTTATAATTCTACCTACAGAACTGGAGAAACAGATTAGTCTCATCTGAGTCAGACCTGACTGATCTCAAAGCAGAAAGAAGGAAAAGGAGATTAGTTCCACTCTTAGAATAAATGGGGAATGTGCACTGAAAAATAGCAATTTCTACCAGCTTTGTCATATTGAGTCTTTAAATGCTTCAAGTAAGTTACAAATTTGAACACCTTTCTCCCAGTTCTTTCATCAAAATTCAGATTAACTAAGACTGTTAATTGGACAAGTGGCACCATCCCTCCCCTTCCTCTTGGCTGATAAATACTGTCAGAATAGTACTTCTCAAAGTGTTCAGAGTAACTTGTTAAAAATGCAGATCTTTAGCTTCTGTAGGTCTAGTTCTGCATGTTTAGATCAACCCTAATGATGCCAGTCTGGACTACAATATGAGTTAGCAAATTAGTTTTTGTGCATGACAGCAAATGTCCTTTTCATTGTTTATTCATTCTTTGTTTCTACTCCCCAAACTTTTCTATAATGAGATAATACCTCATTGATTCACCAAAAATAAGTGTTATTTGCATCAGCTGGGCATCGTGGCACACACCTTTATTCCTAGCACTCAGGAGGCAGAGGCAGGAGGATCCATGTCAGCTTGAGGCCAGCCTGGCCTATGTAGTGAGCCCCAGGACAGCTAGGACCATCTCTCTCTCTCTCTCTCTCTCTCTCTCTCTCTCTCTCTCTCTCTCTCTCTCTCTCTCTCTCTCGTGTGTGTGTGTGTGTGTGTGTGTGTGTGTGTGTGTGTGTGTGTGTGAGAGAGAGAGAGAGAGAGAGAGAGAGAGAAATATTAGCAATGCCCTGGGAAAAACTAAAAAGGTAAGTATGTGCAAGAGACTAACAAACCCATATATACTAGGCCAGGATTGCAGTGTGGACATGGAGATGAAAAGGAGTTGAGCTCTATAGTTTGCACTCTACTTCCTATTCAGAAATGATTGGCCAGAGAATTCCTGGACACCTGCTTTCATCGTTGCAGGCCATAAGGTGAATAGCGAAGTAACCCTATTCACCCCATTGCATCCTGTGTTCCTGTTGAACAGATACCTGCAAGGATAATAGCAGTTATCTATGCTGTCAAGGTACTCTGGTGGCAGGGCTAAGACATGTAAACCAGTTACAAAATACTGTGGTTTACATGGCATAAGCAAAGCATACAAGTGGAACAGAGCAGAATAGAGGCTGGGAAGTCAGTACAGTCTTCCTCATGCAGGGAGAGACGTGCCAGCTGAGGAAAGATGCAGGTGGCCTGCCGGGTGAGAGTAGTAGATGTCAGACAGCACCAAGGCAAGGAAGGGGGTTTGGGTTGGCAAGAAGTTCTTGTGTGGACCTTCACTGTAGAGGGTCACCTAGAGTGGCCCAGAAAAAATTCTCTGTACAATCTTGTGAAGATGGCTAAGGCCAGCCTCCCTCTGAGGACACCCTGCCCTCCAATAAGTGTCATCTGAAGTATCATTTTGACATTTCAAACCCCAAACTCTATCCCTTAAAAACAAAACAAAAAACCTCTAACAGTAACCTCTTTTCATGGACAGCTGCACTATAAATCACACAGGAAGTATCATTTTCCCATTTACAGATCCCAAGAAAGGCCAATTTGGTGCACAACAGACTGAGGCCTTTTCCTAATATTTACCATCACTATAGTTACCTATTTGCCTAATATAATAGGAAAGGAACAGGGAGGTGTGGTATTGTCAAACTTAGGGTTGGAGAAAAGACTTTTGCTGGAAGGAAATCATACCCATGTATAAATACTAAAAGAGCCCCCAGACTAGAAGCCCTGGCTCCTCCCACTTACTACCAATCCCCAGGACCACCTGGAGAGTCTTGTGGGACCCTCGTGACTGTTCAGTGCTCCACAGAGCCACCATCATGGCTTCCCAGATCAGAGTCCCTGCACTATGTCATCTGTGTTATTAAGACAGATTTTAAGAAATATAGTCACAACCTTCTTCCTTCCCCTAGCCAGTCTTCAATCAAAATCTACATTTCAATAAGATCTCAATATAACTCCAAAGGTCTGAAATTTCTGCTGTGGATCCTTAATTCTGGACAGGCTTGCTTTGGGAAGACTGATAATACTGGGACCCAGAGCACCCCAGGGTTAAGGTTTATCAAGCCTATGAACCTTACTGAGCCTTTGTATTCTCAGCTGTGAGGTGTATGAATAATGTTGCATCAATAACTAAAACTAATGTGGTCCTAGATGTAGTGGCTCATTAATCTTGACAAGCATGTCAGCAACTCATTGTTACACCATTAGTTCACATTTGAAATACGGAAACCAAGGAAAAATGGACAAAAACTGCCCATGACCACACATCTGAAAATAATGGACTTTTTGTCTATTTCAGTACCATCCTCACAAGCATGGGAAGTGAGAGGTAGAGAAATGACTGCTGAATGTTTTCTCTGAAGTAAATGCCATTTACCATGTAAAATAAGTCTGAAGTTAATGAGTGGCTGAGAATGAGGGGATCCCAAAGGTGCCTATTGCAAATTCTACACTATAAATTCTTAACTTTTTTCATGTAATAGTTGTATCAGTTTTACATCTCATTTCCAATGTGGTCTACTTATATGTCACTTGAAAGTATTTCAGTAAATATTGTTTAAGGTTAGGGGTGTGTGTAGCTCAGTGATGGCACACTTGTCTATCATGATGAGAAGGAAGAAAAAGGATCAGCAAGGAGCAAGAGGAGGAGGGAGGTACAGGAAAGGGAGAGGATTTTGCTTCAAACCAGTGTTGCTAGAAGAATTGCTATTATGTCTGCAGAGCCCAAACACAACCCAAGCCCCTGGGAGACCAGGCTGTTACTCATCAATCAGAAAAGCACAGAGGTGAGAAGGCAAATGGCCAGTTGTCCTAGACAACACAGATGTATGAAACATTTTTTTTTCTTCAGAAAGCCTGACAACAAATAAATGTAGCAGTTCTCACCCCTGGCCACACCACCGTGCCATAGCTCTCAATAGATTCTTGGATGATGATCTTCTTGCCTGCAAACCAATAATGCTCTTGTGTGTAGCTGGCATAATCTGTAGGAACAAATTTCTGGATACTATGAAGAGATGACTCTATCCTGTCAGACTCTGTGAAGCAGAAAAATCAGATGGACCTCATTAAGATGAAAATAGATGAAATTTTCTCTAACGGGAGGGCCACCATCAACACTGACTAGATAAAACACAAAACTGAATTACATGGGGTTGATGGAGACTGGAATTCACATGTGACACTTTATATATGGCAAAATGACAAAGGATGCCCCTGATCTTTCCTTAGGAGAACAGAATACTTGTCCCACTGTCTTTTGCCACCAAAGGAAAGCATTGTTATCTGGTTATATGCAAAGTGGCCTGAGTGAGCTCTCTGAACTTGGAGAAGCTAGATAAACACACATCTGCCTATTTTTAGCTCTTGGGGTGAGGTAATATTCCCACATGTTGGCAGGAGCACGTTCTCTTAAATCCACAACTACCCCCCCTCCCAGGCTACCCACAGTTGAACCATTTCTCTAAGCCTGGGGAGGCTGTTGGCCGAACTCCAGATATTAAATTACAACTGCTTTAAATACTCTTTTAGCCCCATGAGCCATGATAGCAGTTCTCAAATGTCATATAAAATGAAGAGAGCACCTGACGGGGCTGGTATCATGCAGTCACAAATCTTCACAGGTTTTCCAGAGTTTAAGAAAAGCAGTGAGGCAAAAGTTAGGAGGATGAGGATGCTGAGCTCACAACCTACCAGTCGCTGTTGGCCAAAGACTAAAGTGGAACCAACAATGGGGATTCTGTCTTGAAGCAAAAGGGACATGTGGCCCTTGTCTTTGTGTCCTAGGAAATGACTAGTTTTGGACAGGAATAGAATCTGGGCTCTAGGAAATTGGTGGGAAAACAATCAGTGAACATTTGATGTCTGTCAGAGCAGCCACTCAAGGTGGAAGAGGAAGGTGAGTTTGGAAAGAGCCCTACTCAGTGACAGCTTCCTTCAGGGCAGGACCTACAGTGACTTCAGGTGATAGTGATTGTTGCATAGAATTTTAAAAATAAACTAGGGCTTTATAGGTTATGTGTCTATATATGTTTTCATTTTATTTCCTCAAAGTTTATTGTATTTTATGATGGTGTCAGTGTAGGATATATTGGGCACAGGTTCTGACCACAGTGAGGGTAATTGAGTCATTTATAAATTAACCTAGGGGAAGCCTTTGGTTCCTCTGATGATCTCATGGTTTTTAACAAGCACACAGTTCTGATGTCCACCACTCAAAAGAAAAATGAATGCAATGAAAAAAAAAAAAAAAGCTGAGCTTCAACTGAGCTGTCAGGACCTGCTCATAAAGAGCCAGCTCGGTCCTGGGGACATCCTCTCCACTGTAGAGCTGCAAGGGACAAACCTACAGCCCTCACAGTGACCTGACAAATAAGCCCCATCTTTATGAATGATTGATAAGGTCCTAGACTCCTACCCCAGGGCCTTAAGCTGGTGCTGAATCTGTCTGGTTCAGATAAATAGAAGGCCAAGGAACACAATGGGGAATGTTGCACTCCCAGTCCCTACAGAGAGGAAGAGACAGGGACTCAAGGGACTTGACAACGATCATGTATAAAAACACCATGGGTGGTGTGTGTTCCAACAACAGAGGAGATGGAAGTAACATGGAAAGCATAGGTCACAGTGAGATGTGTAAAGTAGTTTTAAATTTTATTTAAAATTTAAAAGTAGTGAGACTTAAGTAGTTTTTAAATTTCATTATTTCATATATATGGTTATTTTGCTTTTGTGTGTGCAGGTATATCTGTGTACAATGTGGGTACAGGGTGTGTATGGTACAGTATCTGCAGAGGCCATAGAAGGCATCAGATCTGGAACTAGAGTTAAGATGGTTATGAGCATATATATAGTTTTACATAAGACCACTTGAAGTTCTATAAAAAGAAAAATATCTGTATTAAACTTTGAATATTTTCATTTATTATATAGTAAACATTTTTAGAGACAGTTATATTTTATGAAAAAAATAACACCCTCTTTAGCAGAGGTGAAACATTTTTACCACTTTAAGCTGTTGTTTTAAATGGCTCTCAGGACATCCTTGATTATGTCTATTCTTATTTGCTTCTGGATCCATGCCCAGGTATATTTCTAAACTTCCACATGGCTCTAAGGAGAAAATACCCCTGACAAGGATCCACCATAGGAGAAATTTGCCAAAAATGCATCTGAGCAAAAAGCAAAAACATCTGAATTGTCTTTTGATGTTTTTAAAGTTCTTGTTTCAAACATAAAATACTCTCAGCCCTGTACAAATAATAAAACGTTGTGGAAGTGGTAAATTAACAATGAAAAATAGACGGTAATTGCTTATATGAAGATATTTCTCTGCTACTCTCTATTATAATTTTAAAACCTAGGCTTTAGAAGGAATATAAATTCTTGTGGCTGGGAAATGCTGTAAGGGCTTACCTACTGAATGTCCTGAGAAGCCATCCTCCTGTGGAGTTCCTGTACACAGGGGCTGCTGTGCTGTGTTGAGACACTGGTCCATAGCCAGAACCTGAGGAGAGGGAAAAAAACACTTCAGACTGAGCCTTGCAGGGTTCCAGAAAGCACTGCTTATCACCTTATCATCTGCTGAGTCGAAAAGAACCTTTGCTTTTCAGCTTGGTTCCTCGGGGTGAATAATGCAGCCACCCAAGGAACTGGTCTTATGGAATGAAATGAGGCTCCCTATGTTCAAGAAGAAATGCAAACCAGAGCAAGGGATCTGGGAGCAAATGCTGCTGTTCCCTGTCATGACCCAGTGCTATGCAGCTCATTACTAAGTTCTGGTTTTAATTATTTCAAATAACTTTTGGAACAGAATTTCAGTGAAGAAAGCCTGTCCAATATTGGGTACCATTGGGGACACTCGTGGACTGTGGGTTAATGGAACTATGGATAAGAAACCCAGCTTGAATCAGACTCTGAGGCTGTGTTGGAACACAGCACTCTAGCTAAGAGACTGATCTGATTCCCCTTTTGGCATCTCTTTAATCCCCTCACTCACATACAGGAAGACTGATTTGCAACAAGAGAATTGTTGTTGCACTTATAGGCACAAAAGCCACAGGCCTGTTGGACCTGGAGGATCCAGGGCACTTGATGTTTGCTAAGTGGCAAAGCAGACACTGCCATTTGGAGGTTAGTGGGATAAAATAGAAACAGAACCAGCACTAGCAGTGTTTATCCATTCAATAGCTTCAAAATCACAATACTCCCATTGCTATCCCACCTACCTGGGAGGCTGAGGCAAAAGGATCACAAGTTCAAGGCCAATCTTGGCAACATAGAGAGGCTCTACCTCAAAATAAAAAGAGTTTGAGATGTAGCTGAGTTGTAGAACAGTTGGCTCGCATGCACCAAGCCAGTGTTCAGTCCAGTTAAGGTGGTGATTAGGGGAGAGAATCCAAGATAAAGGTGAAGTTGGTCAGTGACAGAGCCAGAAGTATGAGTGGACATCCAGCTGCAGTTCACACTGTGTCCAGGAGGCTGTCTAGTTCCCTATGGCTTTCCTAAAATGATACCCAGTGCTTAGTGTATGTTAAGTCCACACTGTAATCTTTCTAATAAGCTTTTGTGGTTTTCATTATCTGTGTTTACCATCCTGAGTTTATTGTCATGCCCAAGAACTGCTCCATCCTGCTGTTTCAGCTACCGAGGGTGGTGACCAGCCACCACTACTGATCTTGCTGACATTCAATCACTCTAGCTCATGAGTGAGTAGTGAATTCCAGAGGTGCTCCAGCCATACAGCATTTATAACTCTACATCTGAAGAGGTTGTGTGACCCTGGGGTCTCTATGCAAAAGGATGTCAAACAAATGAGATCACAGGGGTGTGGTGTGGCAGCATGTCCTTGGCATCTATAGTGAAAGGAGTGTCTAAGAAACTAGACTGCAGTGGGTGGGTGTAATGTGGCGTTTTCATCAACTCTAGTGCCAAGTCATCAAGTAATTACCTCAATCCTCAAGTTTAAAAAGCTAGCCAAGACTGTTCCACCCTTGTGCCTCACAGGAGTATCTTTCCCCTTATAGACACTTACTATCTTTGTTTTAAATTTTTCAGCTTTGCAATGACTTCAGGAAGTTAATGGTTTCACCTTTAAAAAGTAGCAGACTGCTTATTGTGTGGTTCAAAAGGGTCTTTGGTGTAGTGAGAAGCCTGTATTAGAATGTTGGCCTTGTTGTGCACAAGTACTTTGAAAATGCAGTTAATTGTGACATCTACCACATGGGGTTGGAGTACCGAGAGCCATAATCCAGCAAAGCCCCTCACACATGCAGTTCCCACTGCTATTACCACCTCCAGGGTGATAGAGTGGACATTCAATATTACTACTCCCAGCGCTATGGAGTGGACACACTGTATAACCACCTCCAGGGCTATGGAATGAGAATACAGTATGCCCCTGTAACAAAGTGCCTGTCTGCCACCATGGGATGTTACACATGTAATCTAAGACACTTCTTTATTGCACACTCAGGGGAGGGAGAACATGTTTCAGATAAGTACCTGGTGACAGTTCTTCCAAAATTAAGAGACCCTTCCCGCCACTGTTGTTGATATGAAAAATTCATTTTCCCCAAAGACAGCTATGAATTAAAAAAACAAAACAAACTTGTACAACTACTATTATTTACTTAGAGTCTGATATTAATTTGAAATATATTAGTATATATTATTAAAGAATTTTATTTTTCTTAAAGAAATCCCTGATTAGTGCCTTCAAAACCCTCAAAACCTTTTCAAACTATCAGTTTAAACATGCCTTTACCTTATGTAGCAGAGATCTCAGTTTGTGTGGCCTCCAGTCTTCAGTGTTTTTTATATAGGACTGCACTTGAAATGGTGAGCTCTTTGTGACCAAAAGCCAGCCAGTGGGAGTTCAAGTTATTTATGGTATCATTACCTAGAGTACTCACAGACACATTGCTAGACACCCCACTCCTGCCCCATCGAGCACACATAGAAGAACCCTTGCAACATGAAATGGAATGTCCCCAAAAGATCAATAATGTCTAAACAAGAGACCAGCTCTGTGGTGTCCTGTTGCTGAGGGCAGGGTGAAATGGAGACTTCTGTTGCAATTCTGGAAAGAAATGGGAGGTCAGTGAAGGAGGGAATGAATGGGAGCAAAGTGCAGCACTTTTGTAGGAAAATTCCATAATGAAACTCAATACTTTGTAGTTATCCTAAAAGAAATTTAATTAAAAATAAAAAAGAAGTGTAGCTTGGGGCTTGGGGTTTTACACAGTTCTGCAAACACTCCTTGTGGTTAAAGAGGCACTCCTGCTGCAGGGCTGCCCAAGATGCTGAGCCTAGCAGCCAAGAACAACGGGAGCCACTGCCCAGAAGAAAGGAAAGTGTTTTCCAGGAAGAAAGAACATCTACCCAAAAGAAGGGATGACGGTTAAAGGTTTAAGCTTGTATACAAGGTGTTTGGGGTGAGGACAGAGGGAATAGAACTTTAGAAAGACTCCTCCTGGAAAAATCTATGGAGTGGAGAGGGAATTCCTGCTCAGAGAGGAAGCTCAGTAACTCTTAAAATAGAATCCATGTCATGAAAAGTAAAGCTGAAAGCAGATTGGACTTAATGAATTATCCAAAGTAAACAGTGATTTAACTTGGGTGCACAGAAAAACCAATGCTTTCTTTTCTATCCAACCTCTGTACTCACTACTCTGCCAACATAATCACTATTGTACTTTGTTACATTCTCTGAACTTGGGATCCTTCACTGGATTGCTAGGGTCCCATGTATGCTGGGTCTTACTTCTCATGATTTGAGGGTCAGTGTGCTATGTTTTTCTATATCAGTTGGATGTTCTCTTCCTCCCAGTGAGTCCAATTCTCTGACTGCACCATTGTTTCTTACACTTATTTCTACCAGTTTCCTTCATCTCTATGAGAACTATCAACATGATCATCACAATTTGGTTTAAAATATATAGGAAACTTTGGAAAATAGATTACATGGTATCACACACTTGTAATCTAGTTGAAGGAAAGAGGATCAAAAGTCAGGCTAACCTGAGCAATTAAGGACATTTTATTTCAAAATAAAAATAAAGGGTTAGAGGTGTTGGTCAGCAGTAGAGCACTTGCCTAGTTTATAAATTTTAAAACTGACTGTAATGCATATAATAAAACATAGTCATTCTAAAAACTTCAACAGAGAACGAGGAAAATTAAATGTTCTTAATGCTAGCAAGCATTTTGCTTCTATATTATCTTCTATACTTTTTTCTTTAAGCTTTTGAAACTACATAGAAAGAGTAGGGGTTTGTTTGTTTTTTCTTTTTCTTTTTAATTGTAGAAAAAGGGTCTGAATGGGAGCACATCTGTTATCTCAGGGTTTGTTTGTAATAGTTTTTTCTAAAGCCACTGTAGCTGTTTTAAGAAGTAAATCACAACTGTTTCCTGGATCTTGACTGCCTTAGATCAGAGGCTCCTAAACACAGGACCAAAGGAAACTATGTCAGAAATCTCTAGAAGCTTTAAAATCCCTGGCAACTCTGCTCAGAGGCTTGAAAAGAAGCCCAGAGGTTTGAATTCTCAGATCAAGAATCATCCACTGACCTCCTGGCAGATGCAGTTGCTGTTTTTGAGCTTGAACCTTGGTGTGCCAGGGGTCCACGGGGTCTCAGAAAGATAAGAGGGACACCTGTGGTTTCAAGTGCCATCCCATGGATTAGGACTCTTCAGGGTGCACTGATGAGATAAGGTCACAGAGTCGGGTTTGGGCTCAATAGGAAAGAACTTTCTAACAAGCACTGCTCAGAAGAGCTATTCCTAGGAAGCCCAACAAAATGGAAAGTGGACCAGATCTGGAGTCAGAAGACACTGAGGGTGACAGGCTTAGACAAGGTTGACTCTCTCCCTCAGAACAAATATCTGATTTTCACTGATTTTTCTGACTGAACATGACTCTGTCACCCTTGGTACTCATAAAACTCCATCCTCCAATCCCACAGAGGATGTTGAACAATTTGCAGAAGCATGTTTGGTTGTCACATCAGTGGACAGGTATAGATGGATTTTTCTTTGGGCTGCTAACTCACAAAACATGACACAGAGACTTATTATTAGTTATGAAATCTTGGCCGATAGCTTGGGCTTGTTCCTGACTAGCTCTTATAACTTAAATTAACTCATTTCTATTAATTTACTTTTTTGCCTCATGGCTTTATTACCATTACTCTGTACTGCCCCTATAGCTTTTCTGCTTCTTCTGTCTCTGCCTGAAGACTCTGCTTTCTTCTTCTCAGTATTCCCTCTGTCCAGAAATATGCTGCCTAGCTATTGGCCATTTCACTTTAACAAGTCAGAGTGACACATATTCAAAGTATACAAAAAGATTATTCCATATTTCCCCCTTTTTGTCTAAATAAAAAGGAAAGATTTTAACTCTAACATAGTAAAACTGTATACAATAATAATTATCAAGTAAAGATCACATATACAATGTCCAGTCCATTAGTATTTGGTAAATTTAGAGAAAATATT